GTTTTACAACACAAACTATACTATAGCAAAGAACTCTGCATAATTATTTTTTTTTTTCAAGAGTTAACAGTTTCAATAATCTAAAGGGTGGCCGTCTTACCCCGTCGTCCCCTTTGCAATTTGATTGGTTTTGGTGCAAATGAGATAATGTGATTATCTGATCAGCTGATATGGATTCAAACATTTGGCCCGTGGTTTGAAAACGTTCGGCAGGCCTGACTAAGACTCTAAGCCTTTGAAGTATGACGTAATTAAAATTAAGGGCTGTTTGAAATATTTTAAATTTTGGACTTCATTAAATTATCTAAATTATAGAGCATAATTTGACAATTTGCTGTGAACTTAAAACCGAATAAATTTAAAAAATTCTAAATAGGGGAAATGACGGCTTCGGCATGACAGACTATTTTCGGCAACACAAATTGAAACACTATTTTCACTGGATTTTCTTACGAAAACACTTCGCTGAATGCATGCAAACGATTCTGTATGCTTTCAGCTTCAATTTGACTATATTTTTACCACTGAGAAAAAGCAATCTAGTAAGGTTTTCTTGAAATGCAACACACGCTCTACAAATTGTAGCTGATTTCGAGTTGCCGATAATAGAACAGCAGATTTACATGCAGTTCAAATGGAACGGTTGCCGAAGAAAAACTGGTTGCCGACAATACTCGCTCTCACTAGAGAAGATTAGAGCTTTGTAAAAGCGTTTCAAAACAGTTTTTGACAATTCTTTCGACTGAAATTGTTAGAGCAGCTGGCAGCAAAAGATTGTAAACAAACCAATACTGCATATGTGTGCGTTCCTTAGAGAAAAAGGCTATAGAAAGAAGGTCGCTGCTTAGGTTCCCGAGAATATGTAAATTCCCCTATGTATTGTGAACTTAAAACCTAATAAATTTTCAAAATTCTGAAAATGTATTGTGTGTTTTCAATAGAGAACTAAAATACCTTAACTTTTTTTTCAGTGACATCAATTGCTGAAATCAATCATGCCAGTATTCATTTTTGACCATATTTAGTAGGAGATTACATTTGAGTGATTCACATAAAAATCAATTGATTTTCACGTAAATTTTATCGAAATTTCCGACGATCTTCAAATTGGCATCATTTAAAAGTTACGGGTATTTGCAAGTAAATGTTACTGGATTTTGTAGTACTGATAAAGTGAATTGGTCATAGACTATAGATATATATTTCGATTTATTTAAGTCATTAAATGATTGCATTCTAGGAAAAAAAAACACTAATTTACGTATAGCAGCACCCTTATAGTTCGTCAATTGTTGATTCTTAGCACCTCGAACAATCTATTCCCGTATTCTGCAATTTCAGTTTTAATTTATAAATGAGTGTTAATTTATAAAAATTATAAAACTTACGCTTGAAAACATGAAGAATCCTGGTAATTCCAACTTGTCCAACAAAGACGAAAGCACACTTTCTCCTATCGCCATTTTTGAATTACGAATACGACAAGAAATTCAAGATAGAGCTGGAATTAAGGCGTAACAGCGTCCACACTAACGGATGTTCAATAAAATATGAGAATGATTTCAGTGCCGTCCAGCGCTCTTGTGAGAGCATCGCGACTAGGTTGCGTCGTACGACTGACCAGGGCCTCTTCTCCAATATTCATTGACGTTTTTTTGAAGAATAAACATGTTTTTAATAAAAAATACTGAATTCGTTGAAATTTTTTTTTTATTTGTTATATGACTGAAAAAAATCTCATTTTTTATTGAACACCCGTTAATCAACATCACCATCAGGTAAAGTAAGACTTCCCCTACCCGACGGTAATGTTGGTTTGCGTGGGCGTGCCTTGAATTCCTAGAAATCATCGAGAGAAGTCATTGTTTACAAAAGCTGTTACGCCCTTATTCCAGCTCTATCTAGAATTGTTCATAAAATGAAATCACGAAAAGTTTACTTGAATTTCACTTAACCTTCACCAGCATGAAATGTGGACTGGTCCAGTGAATCCAGTGGAATTCATTACCATTTCATTGCATTTTATGTGCGGCACGTGAACCTTATTGAATTCCTATTTTTTCCTAATGTAAAAAAATGGTCTAGGAAAATTTTCAAGCTCTCGACATTTGTTCAAAAGCCAGAAATTTGAATAATCTTCAACCCCGGTAGCTTTAGTATTTGTCCAAACATCGAGAAAAATAAATCATGTCACAGGTTCTTGAGTTCCTTTTTAAGTCCATTAAATTGTATTGTTTTTTTCCATACTAATATTCCGGTAATACAAAAACAAAATTACAGGTCCAAGCCTTAGAAAAAAAAAATAAAGAACTCTTAAATGCATTCCTACATCTCTAATTTTTCACGATCGAGATTTTAAGTTCTATACGCATTCAATTTTGTTTTATGTCTGTGATCATTCCATCTGGGCAATAATAATGAGATTTTATGTTAAACTGCGATTTCTTTTCTAGAAAAAGTTTTCTAGATCCCAGAGTTATGATTCTTTTTCTAAGTTTGAGGTGTTACAGAAGATTCTATTTTTGGGAGGAATGGAGCAAAGTAAAAAGATGATGTAATATCGACTACAAAGAAGAGAAGGATCTAGAGAATCTTTTATTAATATACTCATGGCTAACTTAGATATATATACATTTAAATCTAGACTGCAGTTCTCCATGTTGTTAAATGCATCGCTTCATATATATCGTAGCTCTTCAAAAATTGCCGTCCTAAAATTGTAAAAATTGGTATTTTGTCTAAAATCGGTACTTTGAAATTTTTCTCTGTGCCTCAATTTCGCGATCTAATAACAAATTCGTGATCTGCAGAGTGAGGAAATGGAGGTTTGAATTGGACCGTGGTCACTTTTTAATTGTTTAAAGGTCACTATTTGGTCACTATTTTCCTAATTTTAGTCACTAAAGTCACTACTATTACATCACACACCAACTACCAGCCCTGCAATGAGAAAACAGGCCCTCTCACTATCACGAGACGAAAGTACCTATCATGAGATTTCTTCTCAATTTCCAATCATCTAGCATTCATGAGAATAATTGTCATACGGCTTTGCCATCAACATTTCTAACTGATGTAGATGAATTTAGGCAAACAACTGTATGTAATCGGTAGAGTGAATATATTTTTAAGATTTCCGCTGTACAAGTAACAATTATATCAATAAATGAGCTAGTAATAGCGATGTTAACAACACTGTCACGTTCTGTCATGACAAAAAAATCGATGAGATTTTGAAGTAAATCTCTATCATCGTTTTCTCATCCATTGATAGTGACAAAAGTATTTCTGTAAATATCGCCCTGGTCAAAACGGCTGAAACTGGTTACTTCCTGCGACCGACGGTTGGTCAAAAGCTACCTATGATGCAAACTAGTTGGATCCCGTGATCATGAAAATCAAATCCAAACCTGGAGATAATGAACGTCAGTTTATACAAGTTCGCAGTCATTGGTCTCAATTGATATTGACTACGATGAGATATCCACAGGAATTTAAAGGGATGTCCATATAATTTTGAATGAAGTCCCACTACTGCTGGGAAAAGTCAATAGGTATGAACCCTTGTATTTACCCCACATATTCCATCAGACCTGGATCGAAGTACGATTGCCTTAGTGCAATAGTATAGGATTTATAGGAACGGATCATTGCAGTTAAAGATGCAGTTACATTCTATTCCACGAGTCCGACATCAAGCAGATCCCTTTCACCAGATCCGTTAATTTTAATGATGCATATGTTATAATCTTTCTGTTGAACTAGCTCGTATCAAGGGACCCTAGAACTGTGGGTGGTCTACCGATCGGATTTGAGGCTTTATTAAAAACTCGCCCGAGAATGTTGCGCCTAGGGTGGGATTGAATTCTCGCCCGTTCAAATTCCGAGTTATTTTAGTCGGGAATAATTTGACAGGGAGCAGGTGGCAATTTCATCCATCATCGATCGGGCTACGCCTTCGTTTCTGTACATCTGCACGGAATCAGCAGCAGGGACATCGAGCCGAGTTTGATGGCTTCCACTTCCTCTTCCACCTCCCGATCCGCAAATGCACTAATGAGAATTAAGGGAAGCTGAATGTTTGTCTTGATCCATCTGATAAATTGAGAATGTAAACACAAAAAAAAGTTATAACTATCGGGGTTGCCAAACTCATGGAATATTGACACATTGATAGGCACACTTTGATTGAAACCGCGTTCGGCTTAGCGCTTGGCACAGATTTCGGATTAAGGTGTGCAGAGTTGAATACCCGTTACAACACAACTTGTTTCGACTATTTGATCACAATCACATAATGCAGAATTTTTTACTCAAACTGAAACGGAATCAAATAAACACTACATAGAAAATTGAAATTCAAGGATCCGCTGAATTCATCGAGTTGTGGAGAGTTGACTGTATAGTATTTAACTTTCAATGTCAATGTTTGCAACGGAAATCGTGTAGAGAGCTGTACTGTATGTGCTACAGATTACATTTTCTACCGGTCTCGGTTAACCTAGCATCATGCGTTGAAAGTTACCACCGCTACGAGGGGTCAGGTTAAATTAGTTGACCGCAAAGGCAAAAATGCTACCACACACGCATGCGATCGCGCCGTCGCTATTTAAACCACATTTGGTTGGCGCTTGCCGTCATACAAATTCATCCAACATTAGAATATGAACAATACAAAAAAACACCACATCGAGTACCACACGACCGCTAGCGAGAGAGTGCACGAGGAGGAACATATGTATTCAAACGGTTCAACTTCCTGTCAATGATGAATTTTGTTGTTTTCTATTTTGTCTAACATTGAGACCATTCATATCCAGTGTTTTGTTTTGCTGCATAATTACAATGTAGGCGCTTAACACTTCAACGCGAGCCGAGTTGAGCGTTTCCTGTGTGCACTCGTGCACCGTAACCTTTGACCTTTATGTAACTGTGAGCTCGAGATCATTATTCTGAAGTATTTAACATTTCACCTTTTCCTGTCTATCTCTTTCCAACAGGACTCCCGGATCCGTTCGCGAAAATCCGTGTTGATGGCACCGCACAAGAGTACAAGACGGAAATATGCAAAGCATCGTTGGAGCCGAAGTGGAACACCCACTATGATTTGTACCTGGGCAAGAGCGACAGCATCACGATATCGATCTGGAACCAGCGCAAGGTGCAGAAACGACAGGGTTCCGGATTCCTGGGTTGCGTCCGCATCGTTGCCAGCACAATCCAAAGGCTCAAAGATACGGGATGTAAGTATTTATCTCTTGCATTATACCAAACTGCTGTTACTGAAGCAAAGTCGTCGGGTCGGGAGACCTACTCAACTCTGGTGGTGGCTGGCGCTAGTGGTTGTTGACAAACGGCGGCACGTAGCACATGGTGACGATGCCGAACGACGACGCCGAGTATATAAATACACAAATGTAGATAATAATATTGATGATCAAGTTTTAGCTGCTGTACAGGGCACTTGAACCAAGTGCGAGCAATGTGGAAAGAAGGGGCTGAGAGTGGCATTGCCACGGTGGTAGTAATGATTTCAAAATTCACACGTAGACGACCTTGAATTGCTAGTGTGCACTGTTATTTTTCCGTCAGAAAAACCAAGACACTTCAACTGACAGCAGCGGTCGGTTGCGGGTGGTTTCTCATCGGCACACCACGTTCAGAAGAAGATAGCTTGCATACAAATGTCGCTTATAATTTCGCGCAAACGATGCCCGTCATGCATATATAATTTTCACGCTATTGTTGAAACTATACCTGTACCCTATTTCATGCCACGAGTCTCTGTGTTTCTCTGCTTTTCTCTTTGCAAAAGCTATAGGGAATAGACATTTAATTCGGTACGTCGGAATCGAACCCAAAAAAATTAAAATGGGATCATAATCTAGTATGAGCACTTAATAGTGACGTTTAAATTAAAGAAAAAAAAAACATTTCATTTGACATTTTTCGAAGCGAGCTTGATAAAAAGCTACGCACAGTAAAACCAAACGATTATTTTCGCTTGCAAATAGTGCAGCATATTTTTGAGCTAAAAAAAAAGAATATTCAAGCCATTCCTGGTAGTTTTGCGATAATTAACTGGGACCTTAGCCATAGTGGTGAAAAGCAAGTCTATTAAGATATCGTTGAACTCCTTCTTTGAGTTTGCCACGACTATTGCCACAAAGTTATCGAAGTAGATCCTTCTGTGTGGAAAATTTTCAATTGGACGCAGTTAAGGAACATAGTGGGTGAATCTTGGTTGCTCCATTGTTTCACATGGTACTGCTCTATAAACCGGATCCTTTGCGAGAATAAACTTGGTGCTTCTTTCCAGACTGCACAATTTATGGCGAACTCACACCATCGCGCGGAGGCTTCTCACTGTTTTGGCCAGAAGTACAGATAAACAACACGTATCACTTTCAAAATTGAAGTGCGAATTCACCATGAGAAAAACTACTTTAAGAATGCAAACGATAGTAGCACGAATAAGCATTGTCCCCGGAAAAAATGTGCACAAACATAAACATACTAAAGAATCATCACTGAAAATTTCAAGTTATTGCTATCATGGTTAAATACTGTTTATATGGGTGCACTATTTTTCGGGAACAATCTTTAGTATCTGTCAGTTGCTACCCAAGGTTGCATTTTTTCATTTAAATATGATCACTTTTTTCAAAAAAATCTGGATGCACTGCTTATTTTTTTTTACAGTGGTCATCAGTGGTAAAAGTTTTGTTGCGATTGATCAAGATTAAACAAAGTTGTGACAGATGGAAGTCGATAGAAGGAAATTATTTCACCCACGTTGAAAATCCAAGTGGTCAGGTTCAAAAATTGCGAAATCGCTGAATTTTGCTAAATCTACCGTGTGCAGTGTCCTCAAACGTTTCCGTGAGTGGAAAACTATTGTTCAGAAGGATCACAGAAAGCGTCCGGAGGATCCGTCTACGCAGGGCTGGTAGCAGATCACTTTTTAGTGACTTGGTCACTATTTACAAGCCAGTCTCTAAAAAGTCACTTTTTACATCGAAATGTCACTAAAGTCACTATTCCTTAAAATTTAGTCACTAAAGTCACTTTTTTACGACCAATGTTGAGAGTAAAACAAATTACTTTAAAAACTCACATTAAAACACAGATTGGATCTTTCTCCATTCAGGGTGGCCAGCAAACCGGGAATACCGGGAAATATCCGGGAATTTGAAAAGTAATCGGGAACACCGGGAAAAACCCGGGAATTTGGCGAGATAACCGGGAAAAATAAATTAACCATACCACAGGAATAAATTTTTACACCAGAATTTCAGAATAAACCATTTAAAAAAAAAGTAATCCTTTACCAAATGAATGCTGCATAATTTTCTTCAGTTTCCCGTCTTATTGTTTTCAGAATTTAATCACTCAGCAATATTGCAAATTGATTTTTGTCGTTTTAATTTCAGATGTAAAGTGCTTGGTCCTTAAAAGAAAATATGGAAGATGCTGGACTTTGGCAACAATTTGTAAAAACCGAAACTGAATTATACTTTTATAGGGTTTAAATTTTTCGTTGTTCAAAATTCTCACGATATGAATTCCAGAATTAACTTCTCTGAATTATCTTGAAATTGTTCTGAAATAAGCCAGAAAACACCCCGCGTAATAATTACCGTTGAATTCTTTTTGAAATTTTTTGCAATCAATTTTGTTGGAGTTCTGTGATGAATCTTTCACACTAGGATTGAAATTATTGCCAGAACACTCTTAGAACTCTGTTTCCTGTTGAATTCTGATCATAATTCTCTTGGAATACTTCTTAAAATTCATCTGTCATTTTCCTCACGATATCCATAGAAATCTCCTCAGAATCTAGTAGGAATTTTCCGCAACGTTTTGTTTTTCACAACTCCTTTTTAAATCTTCTAAAATTACCTAACAATTTAATTTAGAACTTGCATTCTTCTCCACAGAAATCCCTCCAAATTCATCGAAAAATTTCTAAGGATTTCATGTCAGAATAATTCTGGTATTCTGCTCAGAACTTCTCATTCGAAAGCTGTGTGGGAATCCTTCTCAATATTTGTTCGAAATCAACACTTTGAATTCTTTTAAATTCATTCCACTGCGTCCTAGCAAGAAGTACGGTCGACTTAGTTCGCGCTCCGCTATTTTGGAAGTTTTCTCGCTATTCGCTTGATTTAAATTGTCAGTTTTTTCTCGCTTAGAGTTCCCAGCTAAATAATTAACTAAAAGTGAGTTTTTTTCTGAGAAGAAAGTGTGTTTTCGGCATCATCGGAAGGAAAATTGTTTTTACGATTGCCAATTCGCCAACCATTTTGCGCACCATCGGTGCGTGGTAACACATACCTGCACACGGATCATCGTCATCGAGTGTCAGCATCTGCCTCCGCATTTACACCAGTCATCTATCATCGTGTGTTCAGCTGAGTGCCGACCCTCACATAAGCACACACCAACGAAGACCGCCCGCACACGCTGATCGAAGATCATCCACGCTGCGCGTCGCTCCGCTGCTGCCGTTTAAACGCTCGGTGGTAGTAGTATAGGATTATCAGATAAGTTTTTGTTCTTGTTTCTCTCTTTCGCCCACAGTTAAATTTTAAGTTTGTGTTCTGTTTTTGTATTTTTTTTTTGTTTATTGTGTCCGAGTGATTATCGTTTCAGTGGTAGAGCGTTTTTCGCTCCCACTAGTACGGCAAAATGGACATTTTGTCGCAAGACGAAATGGACGTTTTGTCGGAAGATGACACCACTTTGCCACGCGATGGCAAGAAGGGTCGAAAACGTACGTCATCTCAAAAGAAAGATGATGTCATCCCTGGTTCATCGTCTCAGTCTGGCAAAGGACAGGCTCAGATAAACCCCCGATCGCGAGCTTATCCAGATGACTCGACTGGCCCATGGGTTGTCTACTTTCAGCCCAGAAACAAACCTTTGAATGTAATGCAAATTACTAATGATCTGACGAAGCGATACTCGGCCGTGACTGAAATCACGAAGGTTAGGCACAATAAACTTCGTGTCTCCGTCTCTAACCTGAAGCAGGCTAACGAGATTGCTGCCTCCCAGCTCTTCACGCTCGAGTACAGAGTTTACATCCCAGCTCGTGATGTGGAGAGCGAAGGTGTGGTCACCGAAGCGAGTCTGACCCCCGAGATCTTGGAGAAGCAGGCGGTTGGCCGTTTCAAGAACCGTTTGCTTCCTCCGGTGAAGATACTGGATGTCCAAAAACTGGGCTCAGTATCTGTCAGCGAGGGTAAAAAGAGTTTTACCCCCACAGACTCGTTCCGTGTGACCTTTTCTGGTTCAGCCCTTCCTCACTACATCGAGCTGGGAAAACTTCGACTACCTGTGCGTTTGTTCGTTCCCCGGGTCATGAACTGCCAAAACTGTAAGCAGTTAGGACATACGGCCTCCCACTGTGGCAGCAAGGCACGCTGTTCCAAATGCGGAGAGAAGCATGGGGATGACACCTGTGCAGCTACCGCACCAAAATGCGTGTACTGTAAGGGAACTCCTCATGGTATCTCGTCATGCCCGGTGTACAAACAACGCGGGGAGAAATTACAACGCTCACTTAAGGAACGTTCCCGGCAGTCTTTTGCAGAAATGCTTAAGACGGCCACGCCATCGACCAACGACAAAAATCCCTTTTCTCTTTTGTCAGATGACGAGACTGACTCTGACTTGGCTGAGGAGGGAACTTCTTTCTGTTTTTCAGCACGAAAACGAAAACGCATCCGTTCGCGGAAAGTTGAGAATGAAGAACCCCAAATCAGCTTGCCCAAATCAAGGAGTGGTGGAAAAAAGGAAGTTTCTACTCCTCCTGGATTCAGAAGAACTGACTATACCCAGGATTTTCCACCTCTCCCAGGGACATCCAAAACCCCTGATGTCCCATTTTTAAGAACAGAAGCCCCTTCTTCATCTGGGTTGTTCTCATTTGATAAAATTGTGGACGATATTCTCAAGTACCTGAATATTTCTGATCCTCTCAAAAGCATTGTTCTGGCAATGCTTCCTACTGTGAAGACCCTCTTGAAGCAATTGACATTGAAGTGGCCCCTCATTGCAGCAATTATTTCCTTCGATGGATAATTTTCCAAACGAGGTCGGGGATTTGATCACTATTCTACAGTGGAATTGTCGAAGTCTTATTCCTAAATTAGACTCTTTTAAGTTTTTAGTTCACAATAATGATTGTGATGCATTTGCTCTTTGTGACACTTGGCTCTCTTCAGATATAGATCTT